ATGAACACCTTGCTGGGGTTGTTTGACCCCAGTACTCTTTCCTGCCATGGCAGGGGGTCAGACTAGATGATCTGCTCAGGTCCCTTCCGACCCTAGAAACTATGAAACTGAGTTACAGAGGGATGCATAGCACTAAATAAAAGAGGAAACAGGAAAGTAATAAAAACCCCTCCAGTTAAATGGTAGTGATGAAAAGGTTATTTAAGACAAATACGCGTACTTCAGCAAGTGGAAATCCAGCCCAAGTAAAATGAACAGAAAGACACATAAGCCATTGTAGGCAAAATGGAAAATGGAGTTTTGGAGGACTGAAATTGAGTCTGTTGAACAAATTACCAAACAACAAATAAAATAATAATAATTCAAATATATCAGAATTAGAAAGCCAATGAAAGGACCACTGACTATGCTAACCTACCAACACCTGACAGGGACAATCGAGGAGCATAAGGATACTAAAAAAAGTTACATGACTTATTTTCATTAGCTTCTGCAATCTAGGATATTTAGAAAACACCTATCCCAAAGCTGGGATAGGTTCATTAAAACTGGTACCATCTGATACTGAATCATCAAAGGAATAAATGCCACAAAATATTGAAAACAGCAGCAAAATCACTTTTGAAAAGGTTTCAAACCAAAGACTTTTATGTATTCTAAATTAATTGTATGTGCTTAGAAAAATTCAGAAATACCTAAGCATTGCAGCTCATGAAAACTTCTGTTCACTGCACAACAGTGGTCAAAACAAAGGAACAAAAGCCACACACATATAAACCTGACATATATGCAATAAGAAAGAAAAAAATTATAATACCCTTGAACAATATGCCATTTTCACATCCATAAATTTACAAACAATGGAAAAAATACATGGCAAATTCTTCATGAGCATAATTCTATTTATTTTAATACAGCTTAGCTAGCAAAGATCTTGGTGACACAAATCTTGTTTTCACTCAAATTTAAAAACCTTAGAGAAATTCCTTGTTATAAAAAGACAAAAAGTAATATAGAGAGTTTTCTTACCATGGCAACTATTGGATTTCTTTCTGTTGTTGACAAAAAAACAGATAATTGTTTCTGTTGTTTATGCAGTTCTTCTGTGCTCTCTTTGACCTGAACATTCCAGAGTACACAAAATGGTTAGTCTTATAAAAACTTTAATTTAGAATCTATCATTTGTTTTTGTACTTTTAATTCGCGTAAGTTCTGTTCACATTAGAATGAATAGACTAAATTACATTTCAACGTACAGAGTTTCAGACCCTCCTTCTAACCAAGATCCTTATTACAATACTAAATAAATATAAACGAATTATATTACTGTAATGTTAAAACTATTATTTCAAATACTCAAAGTTTAGTAAATGAAAACAGTATGATTATCATAGAAGCATCAACTTGGTGATATTGTTAATCTTTTATGATTTATAGCAAACAAGTAGCAAAATATAAAAGTAAATAACAGGAATACAGACACGTAAAGTAAGTTCACAATGCAAACTTCAACTTTGTAAGGCCCTGCCTTTTGAGCATTATTTTTATTAACTTATTGTAATATTAACAAAAAAGGCAAAAGGTGCATTAAGAACCTTTATTGACTTCAGCCATTGTTATTCTTTGTACATATGTACAATAAAAGTATATAAAAGCTTCTGTTTACTGTCCGGACAAATTTTAAGTGTATGCTGGCAACACAAGAGTTAAGTTTGATCATGCGCAGACAAGCAGACGAGGCCTGTGGAAAATTCCACAGCATGCCCAGCATGTGCCCCCTATATGACCTATTGGCTTGTCAATCAAGCATGACCTACTTTTCCACCATGCACATGTCGGGGAACAGCGGCCCCAAGGTCACAGTGGGCCGAGGGTTTCGATACGAAACAGGCAAGATTGGCGGCGAGGAGTCTGAGCAGTACGGGACACGTGCAGTTTCAAATAAAGTTGATTTATTTACTTACGCTTTTAGAGCATAGGCAGAAATCTTGCTTTTTCAGTTACAGTATATGAACAATGAGAACAAACAACAAAGGGGTCTGTTGGCCCACGGGGTTCTCGAGTGAGCCCTTGCTTTCTAGCCGGAGCTAGGGGTGGCTGCCCAACTCGATAGTCCCAGGGCTGGTCAATAGCTCATAAATCGGGATACGAATAACAGAACTGTAA